GGAGGCGATCGTGATTGATGGGCAGTGTGGCAACAATTTAATGAATTCAGTTATTTATATTTGAAAATTTCGTATTTGAACGCTATTAATGTACTTTGTTATTTCAGTATTTCAAAAACTCGAGATTTGAAATTTAATCAATTTTCTTAAGTTATTAAAATGAGTTTTGTTGTCGACGAGATTTTTACCGTTATAAATGTGAAGTTTGAAATTTAGTTATTTTCCGCAAAACTTTTTAGTTAAATCATTTACAGAAGACGATGACGTGACAATCCGGGTTAACGGAACTTGGGGCGCTACATTCGGCATCTAACCACTCCAATGCAGCATCTCTCAGTGTATATGGAAATAATCGTAACTTAATAGCATCTTCATTATCCCCCAGAGCATGGAAGTTCTACAATTTCTGAGAAATGTAGAGATATATGTGTTCGGATTTTCATGAGGTAGCCCGTAAAGTTGGAGAGTGTTGCTCATCAGATTGATCCACTCTACCCTTATCTGAAAATTATTTACCCCGAAATCTGGATACACAATACTGGAATGCGCAGGCGCGGCTATGTGCTTCAAGAACATTGAAACTGGCAAGTCTCCGTCATTTATTTCCCCTCGCTCCTGCTACTGATCCAGTTGCGCCGATACTCTTGCGGCCACTTGTCCAATTGGCTGAATAGGAATATGAATATTTTGACCGTCAACCATTTGATGTTGTTTTTTTTTTTTTTTTTTTGTGTTTCTTGCATCTTCATTTGAAAGTACATTCTATCTCCGAATCAAACGGTTCAAGATCATCGTCTTGGGTACGGAGCATACAACGAACACTTTTTTTAAATAAAAGAAAGTAAAATCAAATCAAATCAAATCAAATAACAGTTCAAAATAAAATAAACTAAGACTAAAAGTAAATAATCTCTGGCAACGACGCCAAAAACTTGTTACGATATCGTACACTTGCGATATAAAAAACGCAAGTGAGCTATTAAAGCCTTTAGAGCATATTATGCATTATTCAACAATTTAATAAACAAGATTTTAGCTGCATATAATTTCTTAACATTATCGAGTATAATGCAATTGTCTTGCTGAACGTGCCATTAAAATCTTTAAATCTAGTTTATATACTTACACTTTACTTTAGCATTTTTCATTTTTCACATGGTATATAGATATCAGGTATGCTTAATGTCTCTTCTTGATTATTTTTCATGCAGGATAAAAAATCTAAACTCCCAATGAAGCATCCTAACGATCAGCTCTACCAACGTTCTATTGTATTCCGGAAGCTTTTAGCAGCATGAAATAAAGACAAATAGCTCACCTAAAACTAGGTGGTGATATGCACCAGTTCTATGTTTCTTTCTCTAGTCTTTTTAGTTTCTATTTGTAAGCATATGTATGATGATTATAAGAACATTTCTCGAAATTGAAGTACCTCTATGATGATCAATGAAGGAAGCCAATGAATTGCTTAACTTCTGTATTAAATCTTCAAATAGTACAATTTTCCCTTCTCTCAACAAAGTGTTTACCATCTCAATCCCTAAATTTGTTTTAAGATTAGCAACATTTCTCTCTTCAAAATGGTCATTTGTCAACCCCATTTTCTGCTAGGATTAATCCCATTTGTGAAATGTCAAATCTATGACATATCATTTGTTTGTAGGTTTTTATTTTTTGATTTTGATTACATACAATTTCGTAGACAAAGTTTGTAACAACTACTTTCGCAAGAACTCGCCTTTAAGACTGGCTTGTTAGGGGAGGTGTCTAAAGTGCTTAAAAAGCAAAGAGACAAGCCTTTCACGAGCAATGTGGACTAAAATTATATCTTTACATTCTACCCCTCTTTTAAGATCAAGGTCCATGGTGGTCCATTTTTTCAGGTTGGTCACTCCACACAATCAGTCTTCCACTAGAAGTTCCTCTTCAAGATTGAGGTCCAGCCATCCACGTCCATGGTTGGTCTGATTTTCCCAGCTGCGACTGTACAGAACCAGTTTTAATTTCTACTTGTAGCCTCTCTTCAAGATCCAGGTCCATGGTGGCACATTTTTTCCCGTTGGGTTACTGCATAGAACTAGTCTTGTACTGGAAGTAGTCCTCATCAGGTCTACTTGTCTGCCACGAAGTTCCCCAAACATGGGATGCTTACTCTGATACCAATTGTAACAACTACTTAGAGAATAGCTCACCCTTAAAATCAGATTGTAAGGGGAGGGTGTGCAAAGTACTTATTATCACACGAAAGTAGGCTTTTACAAGCGGGATAGAATACAATTAGATGGTGACAAAGCTCCTATCATTTTCAAAATAAATTTTAACTTATATTTGGTGGGATATTTGAGCACGCAACAGCAATAAACTATTTAGCAGGAAAGAAGTTGATAAGGCAGTTGCTAATTAATTACAGCAATGTTCCTTTTCATGTCTATTTTGTTTCTTTTTTATAAGAATATGATGTACGATGAATCGATGATCATTATGAACAATGGAGGAAGACTACGAATTCCTTCCTTCTGTAACAGATCTTCAAAGTTGATTAAGTGTGTTTTGCGCGGGTTGTCGCTAACAATTAAAAGAAAGGTTCAGACGATTGTATAAAGAACAAACATTTTAAGACAAAATCCCAAAAAATGGTGCTTTATTGATGAAGATTACAATTGGAAAGAAAACAAAATGCATCCAATGGGCACAAGCACACGAATACTAAGAAGAGATAATTTAAAGTTAACTAAGCAATGAAATTGCATATTCTATGTCGAGAGAGTTTGCTTCAGAGTCTTTTCTTCTATGTCTTCCGTTTAAATGCATCCTATGGGCACAAGCACACGAATACTAAGAAGAGATATTATATAGTTAACTAAGAAATGAAATTGCATATTCTATGTCGAGAGTGTTTGATTCAGAGTCTTTTCTTCTATGTCTTCCTTTCCTCTTTATACTCTTTTGATATTTTCTTTGTGAAAAACTGATTGGTGCTCTATAACTACCCACTTTCTTCATGATGGCTGACTTGTCATGGAACTGCCGTCTTTAACTGTTGCCATTACTTTTATCGTTTAACTGCCCGCAACCCGGATTCTTGGATCGTAAGGTGTGATAAGGTTGTTCAATAATCACTTCAATAACTACTGTATTGGATAACCATAATACCTTATATTCATTCAAATCCTGGGCGACTCAAAGGTTTGAGCAAGAATGTGATCATCGCTCTGGGCGACAGTAAGGCACTCCATTCGCTCAAATCCTGGGCGTCTTACAAGTTTAGGCGATGATGGTACTTTGTTCGTGGGCCTCCACTGCATCCATAATGGTCCTATTTGGGCCTTCATCCTGGATTTCCTAATTGGCCTTCATTCCTTGGACTACTCGATTTGGGCTACACTTTTTGTATGTCAACAAAGTTTATTGTAGTAATTTTCTATGCAAATATTCAAATTCTTCATTAAAAAATGAGGATTGGATGAACAGCATATATGCTAAAATTTATATGAAACTCATTTGAGTTAGTATTCAAATATTTGTTTTTTCCAAAAAGTCAAAACGAGATGAGTGCAAGGATTTCAAAAGTAATAGGATACGGATTGCAAACAAATTTTTCAATGTATATTAATAATAAATTTATAGCAAGGTTTCCACTCTACTAGGGGGGATGGTCCCCTGTGATAAGTAGGTGGGTGAGTGGGGGCACCTATATCAGTTAGGGGTGTCAATGAGCCGAAACTTTTTGCTCGGCCACGGCTCGAATAAAAATACTTCGAACTTTTTTTAGCTCGAGCCTTAGCGAGTCGGGCTAGGTCGGGCCTGAGCCGGCTAGGTTTTTTTTAAAAAAAAAAAAATTGTGACAAATCTAAATTTTTTTTAAAGAATTTAAAATTAAATATTAACATATAAAAAATTATCGCTAAAATGAAAAGAAAAAAATTAAAAAAAAGAAATGGTAGGCAAGTTTTTATTTTTTATTTTTTAGGCTCACGTGCTGCCTCGACTCGAGTCGACGCCCCAAAATGGAGCTCAGCCCCATCGAGCCAACCCGGCCCGGCTCGGGCTTTTTCCATGCCAAGCCCGAGTCAACGAGCCATTTTGTCATCCCTAATCACAGTGGCTAGGTGAAGGCCCTTACAAGTAGCATGACCCTTATAGTAATACCGACTTATAAAGTAACTTTTAAACAAAATTAAGTATGTTGATGAAAAACATTTCGAGACACGCGCATAGAAGATGCTTTTCTTTTCTTGATATTGAAAATGGATCGAGAATATGTTTGATATGCCTGCTAGATAAGACTAGACAATATAGATTTATTTGGTGTATTGAATTGAACTGAATAAGAAATTAATTTAGTCAAATTCAATATTTGTTGCAAATAATATGATGTAAATGGTTTATTTGCTAATACATCTACTGACTCTTAAATTTTTTATTTTTACTTAATTTAGTCATGGTATATCCAACACACACTAATCCGCCTTAATCATGTTCGATACAGAGTGACAAATGCACCCTATAAATTAATTTTAACTATACATTACCGAACATGCTTCGGGTAGACCTGGAGAGTCAATCTCCACACGATCCAACATGATTTAGACCTCTGTAGATGATTCTAACAAGAAGAATCGTAGTAATTACACTAATAAAAAAAACGTAGACTTAGAAACATAGACTTAGCAAGCAAGGGATTGACTAATTGAGGGCAGTTGACTTGATCCAATTCCAGCAAAATTTCATATGAACTGAGTCCTTCATAGTACAATACAATTTTACAAATATATACCAGACGCATATGAACCTGATTTAGCAAAGCTGAAACTAAGATGGTTGTGGCTTACGACAACTGGGAGAGGCTAGTCCGAGCCACTCTACTAAGAGAAGAGCTTCGGCAGATTGCCAGACAGTGCTCGACTACCAGCTCAATCTCCTCAGAATTTGCTCCGAATTTCCATTCAATTTTCCTCAACTTCTCCAAAATCAGTAAATCATTCGAGTATGAGCAGATTCACAAAGCCACGGATGGTTTCGCGGATAAAAACTTAATCAAGTGCGGTCACTCAGGAGATCTCTTCCGAGGAAAATTGGATTCTTCTACCAGTGTTGTCATCAAAAGAATTGATTTTCTCTTGGTCAGTCCATACGAGTGCTTGTCAGAATTGGAATTTTATAGCAAGGTCATTCATTCAGGATTTGTAAGTCTTTTGGGACATTGCTTTGAAGATGATAACATCAAATTTCTAGTGTACGAGTATGTGCCCAATGGAGACTTGTCCAGTTTCTCTTTCATCAAACCTAATGGAAATATCAGTTTAAAATTGTGGAGTTGGAGAACTAGAATGCAAATCGCAATTGGGGCTGCAGAGAGTTTAGTATATCTACATGATGAATGCAATCCACCTCTTGTTCACGGGTATTCCTTATAAATTGATCCTCATGTCGATATTCTAAAACTACCTAAGCTTTTTGATATAGTGGTTGAATATAAAAGATCTGAGATTAAGCACACTCCGCCCAATGTGTTATTTTTTTTTTCTTCGTCATGTTTAAAGCTAAGGAACAAATTCTTTATTTATCGTGTTTTATGTTTTAATCCTACCCAATGAATCTAATTGTCGTAAAAAAATTTGTGTACTCCTGAAGAGATGTGCAAGCCAGCAGCATACTTCTTGATGATAATTTTGATGTGAAATTAGGGAGCCTAAGTCGAGCCTGTAACGAAGAAAACACTCTACTAGACAGGATTACCAGGTGATTGATTGCAAATGCTTTAATACTAAATGTTTTTAATTGGTTAAGAAGTACGAGCGTCTGCTATGAGCACTCTCGAAGAACTAACAGCATTTTCGTTGTGATCAATTTAGATTTCCTATTATGCTGCAGCGCTTATATTACAAGGAAGATGTTAACACTAGTGTTTATTCTTTGCACACAGGACATATCAAGAAGACACTTCATATCAAGAAGACACTTCCAGTCTGTGAAACGTTCTATATAATCGTGCATTTTCTTTAAAATCTTTACTCAGGGTAGAACAGTATGCATTCTGAGATCATTCTTTCGCAAATGGCCTGATAGAGTGAAAAATATTCCACATCCTTCACATAATTCTCCTGAGTTCATTCAAAAACTACTAAAAGAAGAATTTAGTTGAACCTATTTCTGAATTTCATATCTGTTTTAAAACTGGCCAGGTGTTGGATCATGGGCATCTGGTGTTTATCGCTTTGGAAAGGTCCTGGTTGAGTCAGTGACACGAAAACGAGGAATCAGTGTGAGGAGTGATGTCCAAAGCAGTGCAGTTCTAACATCATCAGACATAATGAAAATGTAACAAGAACTCATAGCATTTGCACTGTGATTCATGTACTGTTATTATGCTGCAACACTTAATATTACCTAGAGGATGCTGACACTAGCTTGTATTCCTTTTGTGCAGGATATATGATGAAGACATTTCTGGTTTGTATAAATTTCTTCTAATGTACATTATTGTTTTTATCTTTACTTAAAGGGTAGAACAGTATCCTCCTTTTAGTGTTGATTTTCAATTTACAGAGACCGTTAATATGCGCATAACTCTCTAAGTTGATTCAAAACCCATGAAATGAAGAATTTTATTTCAACCAATTTCTAAGTTTCATTTCTGTTTTCACCTGGCCAGGTAGAGCTATAGGATCTTGTGAATCTGATGTTTATAGCTTTGGAAAGGTTCTACTTGAGTTAGTAACAGGAAAACTTGGAATCAGTGCAAGGAGCGATGTCATGGCACAGGATTGGTTGCAAGTGATGCTACTTCAAATCGAAGATTCTGAGACAAACATTATTGACCCTTCATTATTAATTTCAGGTGTAAGTGAGTTTGACAATGTATGGGCAGTGGCTGTTCTTGCTAAATCTTGCCTCAATCCTGTTCCTTCATCACGGCCGCAAATGAAATCTGTGCTTAAAGATTTGGAAGAATTGAATAAAATATCATTGTTTTTGGATTGATGTTATTCATAGTCAGAGACTGCTGTAGTTATCTTTATGTGACAGCTTGTTATTTAATACATTAATTTCTTGTCATTATATTGCCTCAAATAAAAAGTTAATGCTTCAAATAACAAGCTGTCACTTGACTACTGTAGCAGCTGACTATGAATAACATTACTCTTGTTTTTGTTTATCGAATAAAAGAAATTGTTAAAGTTGGATATCATAAGTTGTGATTATTGTAATAAAGAGCTGCAATTATAGTTTATAAGTGTTATAATTAGCTGTTCTGACTGTTGTTAGTGACTATTCATATTTTATAAATTTAGATCATTTCAAGTTTTGATCTAGATCATACACAAGAATTAAATATTTTTCTGAACTAGCAAACAGGGAAATGTACACTATCTTTTTATCTTCCCCAACCATTCTTCATTGCCCAATATGCATTAGATGAAGTACAGGACTCTAATAAATTCTTGCACTTCCTGAGAAAGATTACTTGAGCCAAGAACATAACTGCCAAGGAAGTATAATCACTTCAAGATAGCTGTTGGAATAGCTAAAGTTTAATAGAAACCGCTGCATCATTTTCAGCATTTACAACAGGCCACCTGAACACAGCCTCCAACTATACCCACACACGAGTGCATATGCATATGATGTGCATGCGAGTGAATGTACATAAGCAAAATACACTCCATTCTTCAGATACTGTTTCCAGAAAATACCACAGGTTTTTCAGCTATGTGATTCACAAATAGAAGGCGACTAAGTAGGGACGACACTTCAGCACACTCGACAACTAAATAAGTTTCTTCAAGAAAATCGTGTGCAGAATATTTTGAAATAAAATTCTTCACACCACGAATTATTGTTGTACATAAACTAACAAATTTCAATCTTGATGTAAATTTGCTGACAACAAGATGTTCTGTAAGCATATAATTATAACATAAAAAAAAAAAAAAAACCCAAAAAAAGATTGCAATTGCAACACAGATTCATTTTTGGCAACATAAAAATTATAACGATCCGGAAAAAAAATAAATAAATAAATAAATTCTATTTGGCTTTCAAAATTAGCAACAGAATTTAAGTATTATCAGCTTACTTGATAGATAGACGGTATCCACCGGCAAAGAGTTTACATCAGAAATAGTCTCAATAAGAAATTAAATTTAAGGCTTTAAGCTGCTGTCTTCATCTCGGGAAGTGAATCAGCACTTGCATAGACAGGGTGGATTTCATGACCATCCTTTGGCTCGACATGCACCCACTTGCGTCCGCTCAGTTTGTGGTGCTCAAACTTGACACAGCCTTCCTTTAGAGCGTAGAGAGTGTGATCTTTACCGATTCCAACGTAATTTCCAGGATGGAAGCGTGTTCCCCTTTGACGAACAATGATGTTCCCAGGTATCACTCTCTGCACCATATAAAGATGGATGTTGCATTAGATAAAAGGAAGAATTTGTGCATACTTCGGGAGGGGTGGCTGCTGGCTGGACAATGAAAATACACCCAGCACAATATAATATAGTATCAATTATCGTCTATATGTTCATGCTTTCACCTCTCCACCAAATTTTTTGACTCCAAGATTTTTGGGTAGTGAATCACGCCCATTTTTTGTAGATCCTGCTGTCTTTTTTGTAGCCCAGCGCCTGAATGTCAAGCTCAATCCATCTCCAGATACATCTAAAGTGAGTAAATTGAATATGTGACTCAGATAAATCTAGATCCTATTCAAAATCATACTGCTGAAAGAAGGGAAAGGTTTCAACTCATACCAAAGGCAGAACTATAAACTGGTGCAGTGGTAATTAGATTCCGGATACTTGACTGGCTTTTATACAGTAACTTCCCTATATTCATCATATTGCTTACTACGTAAGAAGAGTGAACCTGGGTAGCAAACGTATAACATGAAATTATAGTTCAAAATATGTAGACAAATTAAAATAATACTGAATACAACAAATAAGATCAGCCAAATTAGAAACTGAGCTAAGGTTAAATCACAGGTGGCCACCGATTTTTTTTTTAAGCAAAAATTCATATTGATCACAAGTCACTACACTTCATTTTTTCCAAGGTAGTTATTGAACTTGACTTTAAAGTATAAACATACTCGTTAGTTTGAATAATTAAAAGTCTAATTGAAAGTCTAATCCGACAATTTGTATCACAAAGTTTAAATTAGACCAGTCAGGGGCGGAGCCACCTTAGGTCTAGTGGGGGCAACTGCCTCCAATGGATTTTAGTCCTGGGTATTTCACCTATAACAATTGAGGGGCGGCCAGATTTTAAGGCAACGAGAAAACCATAAACAACCGCATAAAAAATTGAAGAGAAATTTTGTTGGAAAACTACTGTTAGAGGAAGATTACCATCAAGAAACAATAATTTTGGAAAATAAATAAATTATAAGGAGTTGAGTTGAAATTCAATCATTCCCAACAATCAGATCGAGGGCGATTTCAACATACAGCCCGTTTTTACACTAATATAATCCGATAATACCTTCCAATTTCGTTGATGAAGAAGTTTAGAAATCACTGCAACACAAGATAAATTGGTGCCAATGGGTGATGAATATGTCTCCCTCTTTGCCTCTCTCCCAATTTTCAGCTTAATTCCGAGGTAGAAAAACTTAGACGCTTGGCGCCCTTTGCGCCATGAATAACAGAGAAGTCAATCAAGCAGGTGTAAATTTTTATTTCTTTCTACCATATTTAGCTGTACTTAAATCTTTATCTATTATAACAATTAGTCCATAATGATTTTTTTATGACATTCTTATCCTTAAACTTTTTATTAGATAATGCATTTTATATTTGATTACAATTTATGTCCAAAAAGTCCATATAATAGAATAAAATAACTCATTTTTATCATATTTTTTAAAAAATAAATAAATAAAAGTTCGAAAAATAATTTTTCCTCATTTCAATGCATGAAAATGGAATAATGATCAAGGATGAGATGTATTAATTAATGGAAGATTGAACAAAAAATTTGATGAAAAAGTTCGGAAAATAATTGTTATAACGAGCAAAGATTGAGAAGTTTAACTGCAATTAAAATATGATGTAACAAATAAAACAGTTGTACCAATATAACGAGTTAAATATTTTATTAATCACTGAATTTATATTTCCGTCACATTTTATTCACTGAATTTAGAATATCTCCGAGTGGTCACTAAGCTTTAAACACGTTAAACTTCATTACTCACTCATCATGTTTCATAAATCATTGAACTTTAATATATTGCATTACATCACTCGTCCACCATGTTTCATTATTCACTGAACTTATACTTCCGTTGTGCTTTACTTAGTGAACTATAAAATGCTTCTGAATAGTCATTGGACTTTATAATATTATTTAGGGGTGGGTATGGCCCGATTCGATTTGATTCTCTTTAGAATCGAACCAAATCAAACTCGAAATTTTTGGGTATTTAGTGAATAGAACCGTTGGGCCTATATTTAATTAGGAAACCGTTCGGGTTCGGTTCCATTTGGTTCGGTTCAGTTCTATTCGGTTCCGGGATTCCGTACAATAATTAAATTTTTTTATATTACAACAACGCTACATTAATTCGACTATGACATTTTCAATTTAACTCTTACAAAATAACGTAGTACAATCTCGTGATATCTTTTGCACCTATCTTTGTTGAGTTCTTCATAAATTTGACTGTTAAAATTACAGAAAGATGAAGATTAGTTCACAATAATAAAACGGTAGAAATGACACTACGGTAGAATAAGAGATTTTGATAAACTTTAGGTTAATTTGATTAAATTGGGCTTGACTGAAAATTAGAAATAGTAAAATCATATTTTGGGTTTGAACTAAAGTAATTAGTTAGCAATTTATTTTTTAAAAAATAATTTGACTTATTTAAGATAAAAAAAAATAAGGAAGATTCGGTTCTTCGGTTCTTGGTTTAGAACCGAGATTCGAATCAAACCCGTCAGTTCTCGATTCAAGTATTTAACTTAAGAAAAATCGTTCAGTTTGATTCAGTTCGGTTTGGTTCGGGAGTTTTGTCCAACCCTAATATTATCTAGTAAATTTATTTTTCTATGAGATTTGACCTAGATTAAAAAAGTAAAATAAAATAAATATAGAATAGATAATGAGACTTTCTATTTAAAACGAGAATATTGATATTGGTCAATAAGATAAAATTTATCTAGTCATCAAAAATTATATTAAAGGGGATAGAATAATAATACTTTAACAAATTGACATCTACCTTTATGTTGAGAAAATAAAATAGAGAAATTATTTCATTATTTCGATTGAAATCATAGACCCAAATCAAGAAAATAAAATTATATATCAAACGGACAGCAATTTTTTTGATTTAGAATCAATAATATTAATCAAGACTACCAGTTTTTGGAACAAATCAATAAAACAAAATTTCAATTTAGAGTTGTCACGAGGTAATTCAAGAGGATAAATGGCTTCGTCTTCGTGTACGATATTTTATATTTCAAAATTTTCAATTTTTGAATAGTTGGATTTAATGAGTAAAACACAACAATTATTAGAATTTTTTTAAAGTTTAATGAGTAAAGCGTCACAGAAGTACAAGTTAGTGAATAATGAATTATTTAACTCCAATATAACCACCCATAAATAAATTAGATCAAATGAACTGTTAAGTTGATTTGTATTGAGAAAAATAATTGAAACATTACACCACTACAACAAAAATAGTCATTAACAACATTTAAAAGGCAACATTTGTTGATAAATGTTGCCAAAATTGTCTTTTAGCAACATTTTAGTAAGTGAATGTTGTCGTTGGTTAATATAAATGAGTTTTAGCAACGTTTTTTAAAAAAATGTTGCGGTAGACCACTTTTCGCAACGTTTTTTGAGTGTTGCGGAAGCTGTTACCTTTAGCAACGTTTTATAAATGTTGCGGAAGGTATTACCTTTCGCAACGTTTGTAAAACGTTGCTGTAGGTTACCTTCCGCAACATTTACAAAACGTTGCGGAAGGTATTACCTTCCGCAACGTTTTGTAAACGTTGCGGAAGCTATTACCTTTCGCAACGTTTTGTAAACGTTGCGGAAGCTATTCTGGCCCATTAAAATGAGTCCATCAATTTCAACCCAACAATATGAATTTTTGGCCCACAATTTTTTTCCAGTCAGGCCCAAAATTGGGGGGCCTAAATAATTTGGCCCATTTCAACTCTAACCCACCAAATATCCACCCAAATCCGCCAACCCGAACCACCGCATCCTATAATCCAAACAGAGATAGCCATGGACGAAAACTTTCTGCCCTAAACCCAATCCGACATCTCCCCGTTCTCTGATCTCTCAATCGCCAACACAAATCCAGCATCTGAATCCGGCAAATCCAGCATCAGCATCTTATAATCCGGCAAATCAAGCATCTGCGACTTGAATTCGTTTGCTCTGCCTCGACTCAGAACCATAGAAGAAGACGGATTCTCAGTCTCGCCGCCTTCCACCACCGGCGCCTCTCATATTTTTGGTTAGTCTTCGTACTTTTTGGTAATCCAGAATTCGTTTTAGTAGCTTATTGTAGTGATTGCAATGGTTCCTGAAAGGGTATGGCTGATGGGGATGGGAATGTGAATTTATTTTTGAGATTGCTCTGTTAGTAGAATTGGATTATGAAGTAGGGAAAAGTCTGGAGGGAGGGATCTATATGAGACTATTGTGGGCGGAATGTTTAGTGGATGATTGTTTGTTGCCTGTGTCTGTATATTTTTCACCAAAAGCACACACTTTTTTGAACGGCCTAGAGGTAATTTCAGTTTTAGTGGCAGTTGAAAAAGGATTAGAGAAGATCAATATCGCTGTGAATGTGATTAGGCTGATTTTAGCAATGGAAAATGTTGAGAAAATGGCCATTGTTTCAACTTTGATGCCTCCCTGGATTGATGTTTGATTTCATAGCCTACCATAGGATTGGATTGGATTGCACTTTGATGCCTCCAACACTTTGATGCCTCCAGCACTGGATTCCAGCACTTTGATGCCTCCAGCACGAAGATGGAATGTGCACTGATATGGCTATATTTGTTTTAATTTTCATTAGGTAACTTCATTAAAAATGGGGGGATCCTCATATTCAAGGTGCTTAGACAAAACACAGTACTAAGAGAACACTTCAATTCTCCCTTCCAGTAATCAAGACATGAGGGATGGAAATCGCCTTGTCCAAAAGTAAAGAAAAAGAAGAATGTACTTTTGATCCTCCACAAAGAGATCTTAATGCCTTGAGAAAGCTTTTGTATTTCTTTCCCTCTGAAGGAACCAAAATATTCAATGCCTTTACTACTTTAGTGACTCTTGACTCCCTCCAACTTAGAGCTGCTCCTATGTATATAATGTAGAATCATTGTTTGTAATTACAAATTTGGTTCTATGCATGTACTTATTCCTTTGTGGGTTGATTAAAATATGGACAAATTTCTTCGTGCTTAGTGCTTGTTTACTTGGAATATGGTGGCTATTCTGCTTCTATCTTCATATTTTGCACCCAGTTGGTATTTGCCCCGTCTCTTTGACTAAAGTGTCAAGTGTTTATTCTAAATAAAATAGAGAGAGGTGGAAAAAATGTATTACTGAAAGATACCATTTTTTCATTTTATGTGATCAAATATATGAATACTCAAAACACATTAAATAATCAGGAATGTAATCTTGAAGACATATCTGAGGAAGAAGAAGCTCCTTCTAAAAGTTCGAAGGACAAAAAAGCGAATGGTCCAGAGAAACAACCCAGTCTGGTATTCAAACTGACAAGCCGGGTTCAATATAAAACTGTGCATATTTCTGTTTATGTACTAATGTTTGGAGTGTTACTTTGAAGTAGCTAATTGGGGTTTTCATTTAAATTCTAGAATTTTATTGCTTTGTTGGATTGTTTCTTGGTCTTGCAATTTCCGTTGTCCACTATCTAAATTGAGATCATTGCATTAGCAGGACAAAAAAATGTTTAGCTCGTCATTAGTCAGTTGTTTTTGTTTGTAGGGTTCATCTGCCAAGGAAACTGAGCTATTAAGAGAGGGTTACAATGTAGAAGAAGTCTGCAATAGTACTAAGCAAGTTCCTGGTTTCTCAAATTTGGCCAAGGGCATGGAACTTTCATCTGGTGAAGCAGAGATCCCGGATTCCTCAAATTTTCCACTTGGCTCAGACTCCCAGACAAAAATGGAAACTGACAATTTACCCACTTCAGGGAATGCAGCTAAGAAACCCTCAGTTAAACGTGGCAAGTTTCATTGTGCTTTCTGTTATAGAGGAATTTATTTTGGTCACAGTGTCTATTAAAAGAATTAACAATGTCTCTTTTACTTTTACTATCAATTGATGTATTACCATTTTGAAACTCACTCTTATTTAGGTGTTTTTGTATCACATTCTAATATTCAAGTGTATGGATTCAAAAATTTGTAATAAAATTATCATTTTTTATGCAATCCCAAAATTTGTTCATAAGGATTCATTTTCAATTTTGTCAATCAATTTGAGTAAATTGCTGTAAAAAAAAAAAACCCTACGGCAACGTTTAAAAAACGTTGCCGGAGGGGTCCTACTCTACGGCAACACCTTGATTTGCAACACACGTCCAAACGTTGCAAAAGGTCTACGGCAACGTTTTTTGAACGTTGCCGTAGGCTATTATTGTTGTAGTGCACCGTCGGAGGGGACACAAGTTTGTTGTTACAACTCTGTAATATAGAATAGATATGAGTCATAAATGTATGTTACTAAACTTCCCATCAAATGTAACAACGGGTCATAGTTAACAACCATTTATGCTACATGAACAATCGTCACTTGAAGTTGCCGCAATTCTTTGAGATAGCAATAGTGAGGTTAATTGGTCGCAATTATGCGATATGGAAGGAGTTAGAATAAATTACCTTTGTTAAACAGCTTATCAAATATCACAACAATGACATACGATTACACTGTAGAAGGTTCACACGCCCAAATAAAAGTTACAACATACCTTCAACGTTTCTTCTAACTACTACGATGTACACGTAAGAAATATTCTTTTATTTTGGAGTGGTCCGATTTTTGCAATTTTATAAAATATTTCTCGTTTTTCAAAATGTAAAGTTAATTATAAAAGTTTTCGATTATTTTTCCTACTAAACATGTACTCATTTTATTGTGGTTCGATATCTAATATTGTACACGAAAAGCACTATTATAATACAATAATGGTCCGTTTGATTGAAGAGTGAAAAATAGGTGGAAAGAAAATGTTTTACAGGGAATTGATTTTCCTAGAAAATGTTTTACTGGGAATTGTAATTAATTGTGTTTGATTTGTATAATTTTTCATGAAAAATGTTGAAAGTTTGGTGTCCATTTGGCTTCGTTTTTTATGGAATTTGTCCATTAAAGTGATAATTTTTTCTATCATTGGGTCTAAAATTTGTTCCAATTGTAAAAAAAAA